ACTTGCGTGGGCTTGTAAGTGGCTCTTTACCAGCCCACTGGGCATGTAAAGGCTACTTTACAGCCCAAACAGTAAATTTCCAATCCATGTGTTGCGAATTCCCAGCCCACTGAACTGTAAAATTACTAATATTTTTTACAGTGCACTAAGGTGTCGTGTGCTGCCTGCTGACAGGTGGTGGGGGACGCGAACGGGTCCCGCGGTCCTTCCAGCCGTAACGCGAATGTCATGACTCCATTCTCCATCCGCTGGCTGCTGCCGGCCGGGGCCCGCACCCGCAGATGAATCGCAGAGGGACATGTTTGGAGAAAATGATGGATGTGCTTTGCTGACCCGACAACAACGACTACTACTACTACAGGGGTACGAATAAAGGGTGTCATGGTCCCTACTAGCTTGGCGTGGCCTTGCTCGTGCAGGGCATGAGCATGGCTAAGTGCTGCGCTGGGCGGGCTGCACGCGGCTGCACGCGGCTGCACCACGGCCCGCCGCCGCTGCACACGCTTCGGATTGAAAAGCCATCTGGGGAGCAGGGAAATTATTACTGCTACATCCCAAGTTGGAAGCAGCAGCAGCGGCAGTACTACCACCACAACCACCACCACCGCCAACAACAACAACAGCAAAATGCGAAATGGTAATCAATGCTCATGTACGAGACGGACGCACCGCACACAAAGCAGCCCGTGACTCAACGACTCAATAACAACCGTGACTCTGAGCGATTTCCGGAGCAGCAGCTAGTTTGCGGAAAAAACGGTGCGCGTCCGAGACGAAACCGAGAAGAAACGCGAACAGCACATAAAACATTCGCCACATACAAGTCTGTGACCATACCCTGTTTGGAAAATGCAATGCCACACACTTTTATTCCTATGCATTCAAAATGACAAGGGATATTCTTATATCCGTACTGCGTCAAGAAAATTTTGAAAATTTTCACGAAAAAATATAGCAAATTTGTGTCCTTTGACCTTTACTCAACATTTCTATCACATCACGTGTGAGCGCATCTTGCAACGCGGATAAATTTTAAAAAATGTCCCTTGTCATTTTTTGAATAGAGAGGTGAAAAAAATACGTTCGTCGAGACTCACCTGTGCTCGGGCCTGCACCTCGCCCTGGGGCGCTCTCCACGCGGGCGCGGGCCGGCGCGCGCTGTCGCGCAGCAGCTCGGTGGGGCACTTCTCGAAGATGAGGACGCGCTCCGCGACCGAGCCGCGCGTGAGGAAGGGGCGCACGGGGTTGGGGGAGTGGGGCGCGGCGGGGGTGGAGGCGTGCTGCCGGGGCCGGCTGGCGGGGTGCGGCACCTTGTTGGCCGGGGAGGAGGGCGCGTGGTGCGGCCGCAGGCCGTTCACGGCCGGCTTGCCGTTCACGTCCACGACCGGCTTGTTATTCACCACCCCCGCCGCCTTCTTCACGGGGGACTTGTCCTTGTCGGCCTGCTTTTTGCTGCCGCTGTTCTTGTTGTTGTTGACGGTGGGGTCCTCGGCCAGGATGATGCCCGTCTTGAGGGCGTTGATGAGACGCTCCTCCTCGCGCGCCACCTCGTCCAGGTACTCGGAGGCGCGGCGCGGCGAGGACTTGTGCTTGAGAGGCCACGCCGACCCGTCCACCGTGTCCGACGTCGGCGACCGGGGCTTGGTGATGAGGTCCTCCGGGAAGGAGGTCTCGATGGTCTCGAGGAAGATCTCCTGGTGGTGCAGCGGGGGCTGCTGCGTGACGGGCCCCTTGTTCGGCGTGATCCTGGTGGGCTGGGCCGGGCTGAGGGGGGAGGTGGTGGTGGTGGTCTTGGTGACGGTGGGGGAGGTCCTGCCGTCCACCGGGGAAGGGCTCGTCTTGTTCTCGAACTTTTGAAGCGCGAACTGAATGGAGCTGGGCAAGCTCTTGTTGGCGCGTTGCTGCTGCTGCTGCACAGCCAGGCGAGCCTTGTCTTCCGAGACAAAGCTGTTGACGAGCTGCTCGATGGCGGGGGACGGCACCGGAGACCGCCTCGACGACACTTTGTTGTTCTCGTCCGAGACGAGCCCGGCGGCCACCAGGTCCAGGCTCGGCGATGAGGACGGCGACGACGGCGACCCCTGGCGGAGGCCGAGGCCGTGCCGGGGTTTGTCCTCCGCCACGAAGCTGTTCACCAGCTTCTCGACGGCTCGGGGCGTGGCCGGCGACAGTCGCTGCTGAGCCGCCTGCCTCGCCTTGTCCTCCACCACAAACTTGTTGACGAGCTGCTCCATGGCCTGCGAGCTCTGCGCGCTCTGCGGCATGTTCAGGATCTCAGCCGGGCCGAGCCCGCGCGACTTCCACGTCTGGTAGATGGCCTCGGCGTGGTCCGAGATCTGCTTGGCGATGGCCGCAATGTCCTCCTCGGGCTCGGCGAACTTGTTATTATTGTTATTGTTGTTGTTGTTGTTGGGGGTAGTAGGGGAAGGGCTGGACACGGGGGAGCGGGTGGCCGCGGCCATGTTGTGTCCGAGGCCTAGACCGGGCTGGGGCCCAGGGTGGCCGTCTCGGGTCCGCGTCACGGGGAGCGCGTACCCGACCACGGGCTCATGGCCGCCGTCCGAGATGGTGTAGGCGTGGAGCAGAGGCCGGGACACCTGCAGGCGGTACGGGGCGGCCTGGCGGGTCTGGGGGCGGTCCATCTCACGGCATGGCGACCCGGGCAGGGCTCCCGGTCAGGGCTCCCCGTCGGAGCTCCCCGCCGGAGCTCCTCGGCAGGCGGGCTCCCCGTCGCAGCTCCACGTCAGGGCTGGGCGCGCACTGCAACGAACAAAACACCGCACTTCACTTCACTGCACATCACTACACTTGCACAAGTCACTGCACCGCTATGGCGGCGGGGCGCGGCGCGGCTACGGGCGCGACGGGGCGGCGGCGGGGTGCTGGCGGGGTGTCCACCGTGCGACTGAGGAGGAGGAGGGCCCCGGGCCCCGCGGCGACGCAGCAGATGCGTCGAGAGGGGCGACAGAACGGTTGGGGGAGGGGGGGGGGCGAGACGGAATAAGACTAGAGTCGCCACGCGCTCACTACGCGCGCTCAGTCGGGCCGACCGCGGGTCGACCCCGCAGCGGACGGAGCCTGTCGATCGCGATGCTCGATGGCTCTATCCATGAGTACGCCACGCCCTGCTCACTGACCGTCCCTAATGGGGAGAGGGGGGAAGGGGTGGCGCCGATGACCGCCCTCCTCCTCTCAAAGGCTTTAACTTCCCGCCGGATATGGCCTGGCGGGAGGGAGAGAGAGGGGGGGGGGGTGCAGGGTGCCACTGACCCCACTCATGCTCCGCTACCCGGAATGCGCGCACTATGCCTTTCGCTCCTCGCTAGTACTATGCACTATGCCCCCCTCCCTACTGCAGGGTGATTTCGCACAGCAGACCGATTCCGAAGAGCGCTCAAGGGGAGTTGCCCCATGAGTGCGACAAGGATGAAGCTATACGGAAGGTATAGGAGAGCGCTCTTCGGAATCAGTCGGCAGCGTTTTCTTACCTCCGTCCTTGTCGCACTCGTGTGTTCCAGCCAGCCACACGACTAAAACGCGCTGTGCGGCATCACCCTGCTGTTTGCCCACCGCTAGGTCAGAGGTCAGCGCGCGCAAATAATCTCTTGTGCTGGTCGCCGACGGCATGGGGTTTGTCTGGAACGCCTTGGGGAGGGCAGGAAGGCCCCCCCTTGCGCGGGTAGGGGCACCGCAACGCCCTTTGTTAGTACTAGGAGCCCCCCGAGGGGACGCGCCGCGGCGAAGCTGCATTGGGAGGAGGGGGAGGGAGGCGGACGCCCCCTGCGACGTCGTCGTGTCGTCCTCGTCCCGGTGCATCCACTTCCGTTGCCGCTATATGCAGCGCAGGGGGGAGCAGAGACAGGCAGAACGGATGGGCAGAAGAAACATCAGCACTCCCGCCGCCCTACAGAGGAAGAGGACAACGATGGCGAGGCAGTGGTCACCGCAAGGCGGAGGTTAGGTTAGGTTCTGTGTCGTTTCGATTTCAAACAGTTAATTATGCACGCGGGCCTACACATATAGCACCTTATAGGTGTCACCTTTACGAAGGTTTAGTACGGCAGTTGAGTAAATATCTTCGAGTTAAAATTGTACCAATGGAACATGTCCATACACTAACCTTAGACAACGACACCGGAACGGTTTGGAAGATTAAGTTCACTTACTTTTCCGAAGCCGAACTTTACAGGATCACTTTTTGACACAAGAATGCCACACTCCATAGTAATCGAGACCAACTTTCTTTTACAATTTCAACAGAACTTGGTTAAGTGAGATCCGATGATCCACCATCACATCTAGTCGCGGGGTCGCCTGCGTTCTGCGCGCGTTGTTCGTTGGTTAGGGCCGCGCTGCCTCCCCGGTGCCCTACCCGGGCCCTTCCTCACCCCAAGGAGGAAGGCAAAGTCAGCATGGCATCAAAATGACGTCAAAATGACCTTCAAGGTCAAAATTGGGGACCATTTTGACGTCTTCGTGATGTCAAAATGGTCCCCTACGTTGACTTTAGAAGTCATTTTGACATCATTTTGATGTCATGCTGACTTTGCCCTCCTCCTTGGGACCGGCCTTCTGCCTGCTCTTCCCAATCGTTAAAAAGAAACTGTAACTGTCGCGACGTATAGCAGGGCCCGTTTGGTTTTACCGATGTCGTAGTATGCACCATTCGTAACAACAATTACAAAAACGCAAAGAGCAACGAAGATTGGATATCCCCTGTTCGTGGCAGAGGTGCGGGGGTGACGTGACGTCTAGGTGA